TTGCTTCTAGACTCCAAATTTGTATTTTTCAGAAAAGACGACAAAACAAATGACCTGGAACTAGGAACATCAAACAAAATCAAGTTCGATGGTTTATCCAAGTGATGGTGAGGCTTGGAAACGTTTTGTCTCAAAGCATCCAGAATTCGTAAGCGAACCACAAAATCTTTGCCTTGGGTTATGCACCGATGGGTTTTGTCCAACTGGATCGAATTCAAAACTATATACATGTTGGCATGTTTTTCTTTCAGTCTATAACTTACCTCTATGGATGTGTTTAAAAGGATCGTATGTTTAATTAAGCATGATTATTCTTGGAAAAAGAGCTCGGGTAAAAATTTAGATGTGTTTCTTAGTCTGTTACTAAACGAGTTGAAATGTTGTATACCGATGGTGTTAGCACTTTTGATGCTTCTTGGAAATTCAATTTCATTATGAAAGTTATGCTTTTATGGACAATAAGTGAGTTTCCTACTTATGCAATGTTGTTAGGATGTAGAACACATATAAGGTTAGCATGTCTATATTGTATGGGTGAGTCAAAGTCATTTTAATCATACCATTGTAATAGAACAACATGGTTTGACGGCCATCAAATTTTTTTATTCTAATTATACATACAAGAATGGTAGAAAAGGTTTTTTCCATAATAAGGTTGAGCGATTTGTTCCACCTCCTACATTAACCGACAATCAAATTAAGGAGAAAGTACGACACTTCCCAATTCTTTATGAAGGCAAACCTTATAGACCAAAAAATGAAAAACTGTATGGTTTAGGGAGTAATCATAATTAGGTTAAGAGGAGCATATTTTAGGCGCTACCATATTGGATAAAATTTGTAAATCCGACACAAGCTTGATGTCATGCACATTGAGAAAAATGTGTGTGATAATATTTTTAGCATCGTCATGGCCATTTTAAAAAGAAAAGACAATATTAAAGCAAGGAGGGATATAGAAAAGTATTGCAAACCTTATAGACCAAAAAATGAAAAACTGTATGGTTTAGGGAGTAATCATAATTAGGTTAAGAGGAACATATTTTAGGCGCTACCATATTGGATAAAATTTGTAAATCCGACACAAGCTTAATGTCATGCACATTGAGAAAAATGTGTGTGATAATATTTTTAGCATCGTCATGGCCATTTTAAAAAGAAAAGACAATATTAAAGCAAGGAGGGATATAGAAAAGTATTGCAATCAAGTGGAGTGGTGTACGTGGAAGTAGGTTAACAAGGATATGATAAAAAAGAGCATCATTTGCTTTGTACAAGAACAAGTTATTAAAATATTCCAATGGTTGACTAAACGTAAATTTCCAGACGGATACGCTTCAAACTTGGGGGATTAGTTAATGTCGAAGATCGTAGATTTTATTGCTTTAAGAGTCATGCGTGTCATGTATTTATTCAAATATTGTTGTCTATTTTTCTAAGAGGGATGACATCACATACAAAATGGGATGCAATTACAAAACTATGTATATCATTTCGTGCAATATGCTCAAGGGTGTTACACATGGATGACTTGCTTTGCTTGAAAACAACTATTATTGAAACCATTTGCAATTTGGAAAAATTCTTCCCACTTAGATTCTTTGACTCAATGTAACACCTTGTAATCCGTTTGGCTCGAGAAGCTATACTCGGTGGTCCGGATCTGTACATGTGGATGTATCTTTAAGAAAGGTATATTTTTACCGTATAAAGTATTTTTTTTAAATTCCTTTAATGTTTCTAACAAGTCTTTTCCAACATCTATTTAGGAAGTTAGGATATATGAAAAGAAAGATAAAAACAACACAAAGGTTGAGGGGTCTATTGTTGAGGCTTATGTTGTTGGACACATATCCACTTTTTGCTCCTTATATTTTTTTTGCCAACAATAGAAACATGGTTGAATCGTGAGTCACGTAATTTTACATCGGAAATTCCTAGTTATACAACAATTGACTCCTGATTAAGAATTCTCAAAGTTCCATCTTGGATGTTCTCTGAAAAAAGTGGTCGATAAAGGCCCTTAAGTGATGATAAGATGCGTATTGCTCATAATTATATCTTGATTAATTATGTAGAGGTCCTAACTTTTATGAGGTATGTAATCTTGTTTATGTTTTCCTTGATGTCATGGTTGTATAAACTGCTTCTTATTTGTTAAGGTTGTTTTACGATTATGCGATCCAAAAGACAACCTAATGTGAATGACGAAGCATTTGGGAGGTTTAGAGATCGAAATTTTGCTAGGTGTTTTAAAGAACATGTGGGTTTCCAACAAAAAAAATTTGTGTTACCTAATTGTTTTGGTAAAATATTAACAAACTAATTTTATAATCAAATTAGTAAGTGAGGTGTGATGTTTGAAATAAGGTAAGTAAAAGTAAGGAGCTTAAGATCTTGAAATGTTTCGAAGATCTTGGTTATGCCCAAGATCCTGGGTAGAAAACAATAATATTTAGAAAAGTATTTGATTAAAGTGTAATATTTCGTAATGTCAATAAGGTGTATTTGGTACAGAAATAGTGTTAAAGTGATTTAATAAGAAAATTAGTGCAATAAAGCTTAAGATACTAAAAAAGGTACCAAGATACCACACAGTATCTTGATAATTTTGGTAATGAAAACAAGTTAACAATCAAGCAAATAATAAAATAAGTGGATGTCGATCAAACAACAGTAAGAAAATTAAAATAAATACAAGAACACAAAGAATTATGAGGAAAGCCCTTAATGCTTTTGGATCTCTAGCACTAAACCTCAGTAGGTGATGAAATCGCCTACTTTAGAACTTATATTAAATCAAAATAAAATTAAAAGTGCTAGATGATCTTTGAAATGGAGTAAATGTGCTCAAATATGAATAGAATCAGAGAGAAAGTGGTATTTAAAGTGTGTGTGTGAATATCGATCAACTAGTCTTTATATACATAACAATAATAACTGAAATTCCAATAATCTTGGGATCCTACTTCATCTTTGCTTGAACCAGCTTTTACGAAGGTCTTCAATGTTCATGAGGAATTGACCACGTGTGTTTTTACCTTGTATATTCCTTTCGTGTCAAGATCTAAGTTTATACGCCAGATATCATAAGAAACACGATGGCAGTCCAAGATATTGATTAAATCCAAGATCTTGGGCTTGCCATGGATGTCATTACAAGTTAACGATATAGAAATAGTAAGTTGAAAACTCTACGCACAACACTAATAGTCTAGTCTTTTGGTTTAGTTAACAAATGTTTTCATCATTGTTGGTTTCTAAAGAATCAAATGATATTAGTAAATATTTAAAAGACCTTGCGTGAGGACTGTTACAACATGTTCGATCCTATGAAGGATATTTTTGTTAATGGCTATGAATTTCACACTGAAAAATATGGTGATGGGCGAGTCATAAAAAATAGTGGTGTATGTGTGATAGGGACTTGTTACAATGAGGCAGAGTCCGACTATTATGGATTGTTGAATGAGTTCGTTGAAGTAGAACAAAGGCATATATAGTTGTATTGTAGTATTGATCAAGTGTAAATGGTTTGACCCTAATGAAGGGTTAAAGGTTGTAAGAAAGCATAATTTGGTTGATGTTAAATACAAATAAAGGTTAAAGAAATGATGATCCATTTGTCCCATCATCACAAGTAAAGCAAGTGTATTATGTACGGTATCTATCAATGAAGGATTTGAAAATTGGTTGGTTGTCATTAAGACAAAGCCAATCTGTATTTGAACTACGAGAAAGTGTGTTATTTAAGAAGATGATAAACAAGTGGACGTTGAGGACCAATTCTTTCAAGAGAATGGAACACTTACCTTCCACCAATAGTAGTGCAAATGAGGTGGAGGAACCCATGTGTCTTGTCATTGGAGGATAAATACAAGAGTTTGATGTTAACTTGGGTGATTCGCATATAGAAGAAACCAAATAGGAAGAAGAATATGATGATAACTTAGATGATTTGGATGAAGATAGTGAAGATGAAGTCGAACTATATGATGATTATTTTGATGATGAGTAATTACTTCCAGTGTCATGTGACACAATGTATTTGAAACTATATATCGACTTATGGACCTTATAAATATTATTTAAGCTAGATTGACCATTTACTTATTCTATATACCATTTATTTTGTACTTACTTATGTATTATAGCATATAACATTTAGTTACTTCTTAGTTACACTATTACTAGGCATACTTGATCTTGCGATTAATTTATTAATGATACATTCCATATGTTTTATTGAGTGATGACACCAACAATGCTCTTGGCCGTGCTCCCGGTGGGGGAAATGGTCATATTCATGGTCATGGTGATGCTGGTGGTAGTTATAATGGTTGTGGTGGTCATTGAGATAATGGTGGTGGTGGAGATACTCAATCACACAATACTATAGAAAGTCAACCTTCATCTGTTAGAGGATCAAACATATTGGAACAAGCTCCAAGTGACCCAAACAAGAGTTCATAATACAAATGGAAGTTGACCTTCCTTTTTATTGTTAATAAAAAAGTATGATAAGGACCAAGGGAACAAAAAGCACAATTAAAAGGTTGATCAACAAGAATCATAAAACTGATATAAGATATGCTTTTGATCTTGTTCCTTATCATTAATACACACTAAGGACAAATAACCTGATAAGCTCGGATGGCCAACTTCATCAAATGTACTTCTTCATCAGATGGAAACTACAAGTCGGATGGAGACTTGGTCAGAGGGAAGATAACTTCAGATGCCTCAATACTTTGGATAGATTGGTCAGTTATTGTATAGTTGTACTATCAATCTCTCCCTAAGTGACCTGTTATATATCTTCAACTCCTATTCTTCACCATCAAAGTCAGCATATAATCCGTGAGGAGCCATGCATGAAATTTGATCCACCACTTTATCACTTCAACAAATTCCTACTTCACTTCGTCAGATGCAGAGGATTGAAAAACTCAGGTTGATCATCTTATCAAGTACTCTGTTGTGAACCAAATACTTTTGACTTACCTGAAGAACTTCTTCTTGGATGATCCTTTTGGTCGATAGACATACCCAAGCGCAAGATCATTTTTTGATCCAATCGACATTGCTTCAATTCCTTCCAAGGAAGTGTTGGGAGATTGAGGAGTCTGACCAGTTTTGAAGACATAATGAAATTCAAATTCGATTCTCCTAAACTCAATGATGTAGTCCTTCAAGATGTTTTTGGTAGCAGTGAATGACCTATCAACAAGGACACCATTACTTCTCTTGTATATGAAGTGATATGCAGTGGTAAGAACATCCACATGATTCATCACAACAAACTAGTTTCAAAGACCGTGATCTTTGTTGAGTTTCTTTAGATGATGTCATAAGAGTGAAGATGAGCTTTGATTAACAGTCTTGTGATGGTCATGTTTGCGCATCCCTGAATCGAAGTAGAATTTTTTATTAACTAGACATCATTTCTCGGTTTGGCATAGGCAGCATGGAATAGATTAAGTTTTGCTCTTCCGGATGAAATTTGATCTAAGAGTGGAGCATTCGGTAGGAGAATTGGAAACTTTGAGTAATATAAAAGAAAAAGCGACAAGGGGAAGTTGATTTTCTCACAATCCAAAGTTGGATGCTAGAAGGACTTGTAAGGAACAAGGTGATGCTCGAATAACCTGGTTTTGGGTTCAAAGGAGAAATCCCACTTCTAAGGAACAATGTGATTCTTGAATAACCTATCTTCAGGTTTCTAAGGAAAAATCTCTAGAAAGGGATTTGAATTCTCTTTAAGTTGTTGAAAAATTATGCTTTCACTGAGAGCATGGTGCAGATTTGCTTTCTCTTGTTCATATAAGATCTCGAACGGTTTGAGAGACTTCAATGGACTTATCTTCTCAGATTGATTAACAAAAACACCCTTGAATTTTTCCTTGATGGGTGCTCATGGATTTATCGAAACAATGATATTCTGGATAGTAGGATTGACTAGGAAGGACTTTATCAATGAAGGCGTCAACATGGGAACCGAGATGTCTTCGTCCTTTTGACTTGGTTCACCTTCATCAACTTGCTTGATAAAATGAGGAGTCGAAATGAAGTTTTTTTTATCGAGGCTCAGAACCCAGCCACTTGTTTAATCTCTTGGTCTTGGCCTAATGCATGCTTTTAGTCACTGTGTCGGATAGTATGACTGGCTAGTTCGACCAAGCATCGGTAACCTCTTTCGAATGAACAACATTGGTTGGAGGCTCATTGTCGGATGGATGAATCATATTTTCCACGAATTTGTCTTTATCAGATTCATCATGGACAAGCTTGTACTCCACACATTTAATATTAGTACCTTTTTCTCCCCTTTTGAACGAGAAGGTCCAGCCTTGGGTGCAAGTCCAACTTGCTTTTCAATTTTGCCATGGACTCCAACAGTCATCCAAAATTTGGGTTGATGAGTTTGGAAAGATTATCATATATAATTATAGTAGGGGCTTGTTCTTTGAGAGCCTTTAACACATCCGAGACAACTTGTAACACTTCATCAAACTTAAAGTTGGAATATCGATGAAGTGTCTGGATGATTGGATGGTTATTATGAGAACCCATTGCATGTCCATCATATCATACTATATTATAAAGGGAACATTTTTTCTTTCACCACATTCATTTGAAACTCTCATGCATTTTTCGTTTCACCACATTCATTTGAAACTCCCATGACTTTTCAATTTCTTTCTAATAATGATTATAAGTTGGTTAATAAAATTAAATAAATATCAAACCTAAAGTGTAATCATATATAAACTAAATTTCAATATTAAAATAATACTTTTACTTCTACTTATAAAGTTATGTTTTTTTTTAACTTTTTACATATTATACTTAATTTATTAGTTTTAATATATTGTTGGATGTAAACCATTATCCTTTTAAAGCTACAACTTTTGAACAATTTGTATAAAATATTTAACTTATAAACGTAAATATAACATTATAGGACCAACTTAAATATAAATTCTAGTTTAATTTAAACAACCCAAATAATATTTTTGTAAATAGTTAAAAGTGATAAATTGCAGTGTCTTTCTAATAATGATTATAATTTGATTAATAAGGTCAAATAAATATCAAACCTAAAGTGTAATCATAAATAAACTAAATTTCAATATTAAAATAATATATTTACTTCTACTTATAAATTTATGTCTTTAACTTTTAACATATTATACTTACTTTATTAGATTTAATATGTTGTTGTATGTAAACCATTATCAATTTAAAGCTACAATTTTGGAACAGTTTGGACAAAATACTTAAACTGTTAATTTAAATATAACATTACAGTGTCAATTTAAATATAAATTTCAGTTCCGCTTAAAAAACTCAATGAATATTTTGTGAATAGTTAAAAGTGATAAATTGTAATGCTAAATGCAAAAACTAAATTATAATATCAATTTAACTAAAATATTTCCTAAATATATTTTGTATAATCGTTAAAAGTTTTCAAATAAGTAGCTTAAAATAACTTACAATAACAAAAGTTAAAAATAACTCTATATAAATGATTACATTGTTACCTTTAAAATAAAAAACAATGTCTGATATTTTAAATAATTATAATGATAGAAATTAAAACCTTAAGAAAATAAATTTTAAAAAATTAATTAACAATAACAAAAACTATAAATAACATTAAGCCATATATTATATTTAATTTTATTAATGAGTAACTCGCAGACAGAAGTCATTCAAACGGTTGATATTATACAGTTATAATAGATGTATATATTATAATATAATTCAAAATAATCAATATATTATATCAATTTAGTATACAAATTATCATATGAAATTTAACAACAACGTTATTGTTATATTTTAAAAAACATATATTTGTAAAGATTTTTAACTATATAGGTGTTTATGCGCAACATGCGGGCATTCGCCTAGTATAAATATAAAATGATACATAGACACACATCCACATACATATAATCATAAACATACAAGTACACCATAAAAGTACACATGTATATACATGTAGATAAATATACATGTACACACATACATTATATATACCTCTAGACACAAATGAACACATATAGACGCACACACACATACATACATACACACACACACATATATATATATATATATATATATATATATATATATATATATATATATACCTATATGTCATGTATAAATACAACTATTTTTATGTAATTTTAATTCAAAAGAACCAACAAAAAATATTAATCAAATATTGAAAAAATAATGGTAAACCACACCATTCGAACGACCCACGTCAACCTGCCCCAAGGCCTAATTATGAAGTCAATCGTGGCGTACTAGTTATATTTTAGGCGTACTAAGGTTTAAACCATGGAACTTATTTGTGGAATTCTGCACCTCAACCACTAGGTACCTATAATATGGAAAAATTTCTTGGTTTTTGTATCAAAATGTAACACCCATAAAATCCGAGCCAATTTAAAACTTTTAAATCATTTAAAAACTACTCAGTTATTACAATTTGTTTTCAAAATAGTTTAAACATCATAGTTCCTAGAAATCATAATCATCAATCGAGGAAGTGTACGGTCACGCCTTCGCCTTCACGCGGCCATCCGCTGAGCCTGAAACAATAAACTGAAACTGTAAGCCCGAAAGCTTAGTGAGTTACCCCCAAAATACCCATACACACAACAATACACATACAATAACAAACAGCATACTATGGGTCCAATCATCCATCGGGATGGAATACCCCAGGCCCTCAACCTTTGGGTTGGAATGCCAACATACCGATACACTACACATAACAATATACAAATAACAGCATGTACTGGGTCCACAGCTTTACAGACTGGATTACCCCTCGGCCCACATTGTGAGTCTGGATTGCCTTCCAGTACCACAACTCACATATGGATTGCCAACGAGCCCACAGTACGAGTCTCCCTCAGCTCGTATCTGGAATGCTCCCGGGTTTGTTGGTTACCGCACGGAGCAGTATCACCTCAACCCATCCCACATAACATATCAACATATAACATAACTACTGAGCATGTAGATAATCATATAACAACACAGGTAGTCCTACAGATCTACCTTACTGGCATAACAACTAGCATGCAGACAGTCAGACCAACTATAGGTCACTAAGCATAACCTCATCCGATCTACCAGGATACCGATCTAACAGATCATACTAGCATATAACCATCTTATCTAACAGGATACCGAACTAACATATCCCAACAGTAATAATCCCAATAACAAAACAAAAGGCCAGCCTTGGTGCCTTAGACCCTTAAGTACAGTGAGGATAACTCACCTCGCAAGTAGCTCGGAAGATAGTGTCAAACTCCTCCAAATGTAACTCCAACTCCCATACCTATATTCACAAAAGTCCTTTGCTATAAATATCCAATTTACCAAAATACCCTCGAAAGTCAACTGGTCAACCCTTGGTCAAAGTCAAAGTCAACTGCCAAGGTCAACAGTCCATGTTGAGCTCAACTCGTCGAGTACCCTCAACTACTCGCCGAGTTCCTTGCATAACTTGCCAACTCGCAGAGTCACTCGTCTGACACGCCGAGCCCAAGGCAATCTTCATCAGACTCACCGAGTCACTCTACTGACTCGCCGAGTCTACGACAATCTTCATCGGATTCGCTGAGTCGACCATGCCACTCATCGAGTCCCTTCGGTCCTTCATCCATACAGATGCTTTTTAAGCCATGCTAAGGCTCCATACTGCAGATCCAACTTCCCAAGGCATGCTTATCACGTAAAGTTGCAAACTTTACGTGCATGCAAGGCTCTAATGACTCATAATGCCAAATCAAAACTTTGAAATGGGGTCTAACTCAAATCGAAGGTTTCATACATGACAAGGCTAGAAACTTTATGAACCTAGATCCCATGGAGGGTTCAGATCTGAAGTTGCAACTTCAGATCCAGCTCATACTCAACAATAGCTTCATAACCAAGCCAAAAAACCCTAAACTTCATCCAAAGAGATTTAGAAAGAAATGAGGCCAAGATCATGAATTGATACCTCAAATGAAGCTAACTGAGATAGATTTTGTAGATCCACACGAGTCCCTTGCTGCTAGCTACTTGACCTTCAAACTCCCTTCACAAGTTCCACCTTCCAAAGCTCAAAAACACACTCAAATGATGCTCACACACGAAATAGGGTTTGCTGGACTCTCTAGAGGCTGTAAGGGACTAAGGGAGGCTAATGATTCCTTAAATAGGGTGCAAAACCCCGGAAATTAGGGTTTCACCCTCCAGCTCCAACTCGTCGAGTCAC